TCGTTCAGGCTGGAGTGCAGTGGCACGATCTCAGCTCACTGCAACCTCTGCTTCCCGGGTTGAAGCCATTCTCCTGGCTCAGCCTCCTGAGTAGCTGGGATTACAGGTAGCCAGCACCATGCCCGGCTAATTTTTGTATTTTTAGTAGAGATGGGGTTTCACCATGTTGGCCAGGCTGGCCTCAAGCTTCTGACCTCAGGTGATCCGCCCACCTTGGCCTCCCAAAATAGTGGGATTACAGGTATGAGCCACCGGGCCTGGCCTGTTAGGCAAAGACTTCTGAGATACAACACCAAAACCACAAGTGATAAAAGAAAAAAAAAAGATAAATTAGATTTCATCAAAGCCAAACCTTTGTTGCTTCAATAGACATTATTATTAAAGTTAAAAGACAGTCCACAGCATGGGAGACAACATCTGTAAATCATTAATCTGATAAAGGACTTTAACTGGGAATATATAAAGAACAATTAAAAAAAAAATCAGTAACAAGGGCCAGGTGTGGTGGCTCATGCCTGTAATTCCAGCACTTTGGGAGGCTGAGGTGGGCGGATCACTGGATCAGGAGTTTGAGACCAGCCTGGCCAACACAGTGAAACGCCATCTCTACTAAAAATACAAAAAAATAGCCAGGCATGGTGGTGGGCACCTGTGATCCCAGCTACTCGGGAGGCTGAGGAAGGAGAATCTCTTGAACCCGGGAGGCAGAGGTTTCAGTGAGCAGAGACTGCGCCACTGTACTCCAGCCCAGGCAACAGAGTGAGACTCTGCCAAAAAAAAAAACAAAATCAGTAACAAGACAGCAACCCAATTAAAAAATAAGCAAAATATTTGAATAGACATTTTACAAAAGAAGATACATGGATAGTCACTAAGCACATGAAAAGATGCTTCCTATCATCCATCATTAGGAAAATGCAAAAGAAAGCTGTAAGATACCACTTAAAATCCAGCAGAATGACTATAATGAATAAGACAGATCATAAGAAGTGTTGGCGAGGATGTTGGAACCCTCAAACACTCTGGTGGAAATGTAAAATGGTGAATTCACCTTGGAAAGCAGTTGTGCAACATCTCGAAAAGTTGAACACAGAGTTACCATCTGACAGTAATCTCACTCCTAGGTATACACCCAAGGAAACTGAAAACACGTGTTCATAAAAAACTTGTACCCATCTTCATACAGCAGTATTTATAATAGCTAAATACTCTCCTGTGTTTACTGTATTACAATTACAATTAGTACCATTAAACACTATATTTAAATACTGGAAGAAATCCAAATGTCTGTCAATTGGTACACGGATAAATAAAATGTGGTATTGCCATACAGTGGATTATTATTTACCAATAAAAAGGAATGAAGTAATGATACATAATACAACATGGGATGAACCTCAAAAACATTATGCTAAGTAAAAGAAACCAGATGCAAAAGATCACATATTGTCTAATTCCATTTATGTGCCCAGAAAAGATAAATATACAGAGACAGAAAGTTGTTTAGTGATTGGAGCTAAGGACAGGAAGCCAGGACTTGTCTGCAAATGAGCACAAAGTATTTTTTCAGGATGACAAAAATTTTCTAAAATTGGCATGTGATGATGGTTGTACAACTCTATTACATTTTCTAACACAATCATTGAGTTATACCATTAAAACAAATGAACTTTATAATATATAAATTATACTTCATGAAAGCTGTCAAAAATAGCTATAAAACCACAATGCAGTTTTATGTGTAATTCTGATTTTTATACATCTTATGACAAGACTTTTATAAAGATGGGGCAACCATGATTCCCCAAGACAATATGGCAGGGGCCTTCCAAAATCTTAAGAAGTAAAAATGCTTTCAAAAACTACAAAGAAATGCATCAAAATTCATATTATTCAACAATGGTAAGGTAAAGTATTTAGGTAAGAAGCAAAGTTACTAACCTGTGTGCCAGTATTTACAGTATGGGGCCCCTTAGCTTCCGCTCTCTGCCCTTGGAACCGTCTTAAATTGCACTGTCAGTTTTATCGTCTTCAAATATTACTTCCATCAAGTGTGCCTCCTGTTCCAAACATAGAACCAAAACCCTTAATTATGGGAATTTTGGCTCTTCAGGTAACTTCTCAGGCTTTCTTAAAATTTTTAACCAAAGTTTCCAAACGAACCTTCCGCTGCAGTCAGAGCCAACTCTTCCTCAGGCTGCACATATTTGCTAACAACTCACTCACTATTGGGGATGCCACTTCCCTTTTCTCTTTGAAATTGTGCTCATTGCTCAGGCCCAAAGTGAGTCTTACCCATACTGTGAAGCCTTTCCTGAATAATTCATCTCACATTGAGCTGAGCTCCTGAAGTACCTGTGGTTTACAGCAGTCATCTGGGCATTAAGACATGTTTTGATCCTCATTTGTCCCTGTTCTGGAGGAGCTGTATTTTACTAATTTATATTCCTCTATATGGATTAAAGAAGCAACACAGGAAATAGCTATTCATGTTTATCAATGTTTTCTTGATAAATTCTTTCATATTTGCTTTCATTTAAAATGTAATTTTTGAAAATATGACGCTGAATTCCTTTTTTGAGAATTTATCCTTACATGCTGATTCTGCTTCAGGTATCTATAGTATGTTGTTTAGCCGTTAGCAGATCTGTCCCTGGATTCCCTAATCTACGAATATACACAAAATTTGCGTTCAAACAACTCTGTTTTCTCTTGTATCTTTTAATAGATGTATTATCTATTATGCCAAGTATGATAATATACAAATGAAAATACGCATTTAAAAATTACAATATTACTAAATGTCCTTCTAAATTCACATTTAAGCAACAATACCGCAGTTTCTTAAAATAGAAAATGATCTTATTGTTTCCTTTACCTTTCAAAAATCCACTGATAATCTGGGCCATGATGCTTTCCAAACACCCTAAAGAGAAAAATGCTCTCTGAACACTCTTCTCCCTGCTACCTTTAAATTGTGCATATATTTTCTCTGCTTTTCCTTGACAATCACTCCTTTAAAACTAGTAAAAAACCGAAAAAAGTTTCCGTAACTCTCTCATCTCCAACTATGTCGTAAAATCCTTTGCCAGTTTAACCCAGTCTGCTGGAGAGGCTTACCATTTCTTTTTCGAGCGAATTAGACAGTTGTCTTGGCAGTGTGATTTGCCATTTGGTTCCTGCTTTCTATTTGGTGATTCTTTGTACAGACTGATAACCATGAAAAGCCTAAAATAGGGCCGTTCCGGAGCAGCCTTTTCCCGTAAAGCAAGTGGATACCTCATAAAATTCCAGGCAAAAGATGAATGATAGATCACTCACCAATAGCGAGTGGAGAAGAGTATTTTGCCGAAGTTTGCAACCCAATCCTTGGGAGCCAGAGGTGGGAATTTTAAAATGAGGTCTTTCCTTGGCATTTTCTTAAAGTGGTATCGCTGCCTGTCGATACTGCAGTTTGTCAAAGAATGTAAAATCACCAGCTTAGAGGATATTTTCCCCTTTGTTTTTAAGAGAGAAAAAATGTGCAAACTGATTCTCTACAAATTGGGAGAACTTCCAGGAGTGGAGTCATAGGATACTGTAACATATAATCAGTCGGCAACTTTTGTGTCAATTTGGGGAGGAGGTGAAAGTTATTTTAAAATGATTCATTTTTCATGGTCAAATACCAGATATTAAATTAATGCACTGAAAAACAGTATTCCCCTTAAAAAGTAAAAATGAAAACTAAGAGGCTAACATTACTTAGAAAAAAATCGTTCTGCCTGTTGTTAATCTTTTTTCTTTTTTGGGGGGTAAAGCTTCATATATTAACAGCAAATCTTATTATTTGGGCTGACCGTTAAATACCCTAAGTATCTTTGTTTTTACACAAAATGTGAATTTCCTCATTTTAAGTCCAGCAAAAAATTTCTGAGTGCCACGAATTCTTAGGTATTACGAAACTGTCTTAGAAATACATGACATATACCATGCTGTATACCTGAGTCGCTCTTGAAGACCAGATTTAATAGATAACTGATACATATTTTATTACAACTCATACCTTGTTTTGAAACCGATGCTTTTTTTTTTTTTTTTAAATTTAATCTAACTCTGCTTTCTAGGTTATTCATCTCTATGAGTAATTAAGTCAACCACTGTAAAACCACCTGATAAAGTTAAGGTTCCTTGACAAGGAGCCTCGCAAATAGGCTTTTCACAGAACAAAAAATAGCAAACGGTGCCTTTTCAAAGTGTTTCCGAACAATGCTTGGAAGTATTTTTACCAGCATAAAGCTCTCTTTCGCTGATGCTATTTCGCTGACATAGGAATTTTCGTCTTGAAGAAACACATATCGACGGCCTACTCAGTCATGCTAAGAACTGCCATTGTATTTAACTTACTAAATTGTTATTGTCTTTTTTAGGAATCTTTTCTCACAATGGGTGTTTGAAGCGCAGAGACTAGGTTGCCTCCACATCTTTGGTATCTAGCAGTGCGCAGTGATCCCTTAAATCCGGTGCATAGGCTCACTGCTTGCTAACTAACGTTAGCTTCGTTACAGAAACCCACTGGCCTCAGTTTTTCATCCGTCAGACTGGCACTGTTACTCCCTGTGTCATGGGATTGCTGTGAAGGGTTCAACGAGATAATCTACAAACAGCTCTTAGAATGAACGCTCAAGGTGGGATGTCATTGTTGTAATCCCTCAACGTGTGCCATCGAATGAGAGGCCGAGTGACTGAATGAATGTATGAAGGAAAAGGTCCGTAACTGGCAGTTCCCGAGGTTGGAGCCGGCGAAATTACCCCTTCAACCCGCTAAAATAAAAGCCGCTCCGTTGACAGAAAACCCACACGCCGGAGCCGGAAGCAAGAGTAGAGCGGTGGGCGGGGCCAGCGTAGAGGAAGTCGCTCTCCAGGCCAATAGACACATCGATTGGCAAACGAGCGTTTCGCCGCACCTATCGTGAAACTGCGAGAACGCCGGAGATTATCGCGAGGTTCCGTAATCCTCTCCCGCTCCCTCTTCCCCAGTTCCCTGTAGCGCGGGTTCCGCTCCGCCCCCGGGGCCCCGCCCCGCCACCCCCGCCGCCCGGCGCTCCGCCCCGCCCCCGCCCGGCTCCCTGCCCCGCCCGGCTCCCTGCCCCGCCCGCCCGCCCGCCGTCTCCGGCTTGCCTTCCAGCGCCGCTTGCGCTCCGGAGCGCTGGCTCTGCCGGCGCTGAGGTGAGTAGAGCTGTCTGCCTCGTCGGGTGGTTCGAGTGGCAGGGCTCGCTGACCCGGCCACCGGCGGGGACGCCCTAGACCTGGCCTCGCAAAAGCGTCCGGGCCGCGGCGAGTGGGACAGCGGGGCGGCCTGGGCCTCGGGTGGCCACAGCTGCCGGGTCCTCCTGGCACTCCGCGGCCCCCGGACCCCTGCCGCCCGGACCCCAGAACCCTGGATACCGCGTCCCTGAAATCCCTGCTGCTGGGCTCGCTGCTTCCCAACTGTAACGACCTCAGTGTCTGGCGTTTCGCCCAAGACTTCTGCCAGTGTTTGTTACCACTGAGCTGAGAAGATACCCTTTTACAAATGCTTTGAATATGCAGCTTATAATTCTCTAATCTCCAGCGTTAGGAAATTGAAATGCGTGTTCTACTAAATTGAGTACGGGGAAGCCAGTCTAAGGGACTCCTTTCTTTGAAAATACGCTTTAAAATGTGTAGAATTTTGTTAAATAGGAGGTTTTTTATTTTTTAATTTTGTTTTTAATAATATGATAGTGTTCACCTGCCGGAAAGCTCGTGTGTAGGTGCGGACCTACACAGCTGATATGAAGTAATACTATTTGCCTTAACTACGTAAGAGGTAGTGTAACTATACAAGAGATAGTTTGCTTAACTAGGTAAGAGGTAGTAAAGTGAAATGGGGTAAGAAAATTATCTTGTTAAAGGTTGTGTACGGCCCATGAATTGCATGCTGCAAAACTGTGAGCATTGTTGATGCTTTATCAGCATTATTGGCAGCTTTGGGATTTCATTAGTTCAGATTTTATCTCCTAAACAGCCTTTGTAGCAATTTTAACAGAATGTAACGGTGTTTTTGAGGCAGCCAATCCCATTTCAGAATATTCAAAGCCATCAGGTTACAGGGAATCTCTTACTGAATCTTCCCTCAGTGAGTGTGGTTTTGCATTATAGGGCGGCGGTGCACCAGTCTACCTGCGATGGAACTATGGTACGTTACCCTCTGAGAAACTCAGTTTCCTCGTCTACAAAACGTGCTAACTAATGTCTATTGCAATGCATGGTTGTAAAGATTAGACGTCCTTATGGCATGCAGTAAGGTTAGAGGATCTATCCGTGGTCTTGACATGGGTGGTTGAGAAATCAACCTTGCAACGTTGTTTCACGTGTCATCAGATATTAGAGGACTTACTTTAAAATTTTATTTTAAGTTCCTGGGTACATGTGCAGAATATGCAGGTTTACACAGGTAAATATGTGGTAATTTGCTGCACCTATCCACCCATCACCTAGGTATTATGAAGGGTTACTTTTAGATAGTGTTCTAGATGCAGGTATGCAAGTGTGAAGAAAACAACACAGCCTCTGCCGTCAGGATTTCTAAATAAGTTTCAGAAGGGTTTAATTACAGGCTTTTTGGCTTGATTGACAATAAACAGGTGCAATGATAAATATTTAGATGACAAATTGTGAGGAGTCCTACGAAGAAAAAAACAAACAGCCAAGTTGCTCTGAAAGAACACCAGGGGAATACTTTGGGATAGGGAAGTTATTTTTATTTTTTTGAGCCAGAGTCTTGCTCTTTTGCCCAGGCTGGAGTGCAATGGTGCAACCTCCTCTCGCTGCAATCTCTGCATCCCAGGTTTAAGCGATTCTCCTGCCTAAGCTTCCTGAGTAGCTGGGATTACAGGTGCCCGCCACCATGCCCGGCTAATTTTTGTATTTTTGGTAAAGACGGTGTTTTGCCAAGTTGGCCAGGCTAGTCTCAAACTCCTCACCTCAGGTAATCTACCTGCCTTGGCCTCCCAAAGTGCTGGGATTACTGGCAAGAGCCACTGCGCCTGGCCCAGGGAAGTGATTGTTAGGTTGAAATCTGGAGAATGATGGGACATTGCTTTGTACGCTAAGAGGAGAGCAGTAAATGGTGTTAGGGGTTTGGTAGCTTTAAGGATTAGAAAAAGCCCCGGAATTTGGTGAGGAGCCGAGCAAAGTGCTGAAGAAGTGGGTCGGGGCAGGTGGTGAGGTGTCTTCAAGGCCTACTATGAGTTTGATTTTCTAAATAAGAAGTTTCTGAAGGGTTTATTTAGTAAGATGTATGCCAGAAAGGTGAGACGTAATTGCATGTACATTTTTAAAAGCCCACTGCTGGGATTAATGTGTTGGAAGTGACCAGAGTGGACACAGGGAGGCCAGTAATATAGCTGGCCAGGCAGGAGATGACGGTGGCTTGTGGTTTTGGCAGATGGAGAGATTTGGATGGATTTGAGATGTATTTGGGAGATGGAAGCCACTGGCCTTGTGATAGATTGGAAGTGGTTAGAGAATGAGAGGGTGGAATCATTCATGACTTCCTGTTTCTCCAGCTTGAACCACTGGGTGGTTGGAGAGGGTGCGCTATTTACTGAGATGGGAAAAATTAGGGAGATTCATATTGGTGATGAAAGTAGAAAGCTCTTTGTGTTAAGTTTGAGCTGTTTGTGAGACATCTAAACTGCTAACAGTTTACTTCAGTGAATAATTACCTGTAGAGTTTCACTTTCTACACAGAATCATTGAGGTTATTTGTAGTCTACTCTCTTTGCTTTATGGGTAGGAGAATTAAGATGTGGAAAGATTATCTTGCACAAAGTCACATAATATGTCTCACAAAATAGGTGAGTAGGTGGAATATGGGAAAGTATTGGATCCTTACATTGCATTGGAAACAGTTAATATTTCATACTTTGCCTTTTAATATAAAATGGCAAGTGCTGTCTCATGAGCTAGGAATTCGAGTTTGGAAATAATAAAATATAACCAAAAAATTACAAAACTCTGTTTATTGAAAGCTTATGTTGCTGGATTTTGTACTAATTTGGTATTAATTACCAGCGAAAATCACTTGCGTTAAGAAAAAAAAAATTATTGAAAGGTACTTTCCAATAGAGAGTTTGGAAAGAGTGTTGAGGAAAACAGTCAAATCTTTAAGCAAAACTCAGCTTCTTTGTAGTTGTTTTAGCATTTCCTTATTATCCTGTGGAACCTTGTGAGTCACTGTCTGTGAAGAACCCAGGCTTTGAAATCCACTGGACCTGGCATCAAACCCTTGCTTTTATCCCTTGTGAACTGTTTGATCTTGGACAAATCACTGAAGCCTTGAGTTTCTTTCTTTTTGTGTTAACTGATAGTGAAGTTTGTTTTAGCTCTGTGCCTAGTGGATAAAATGGCAAATGTTACTTGTCTTCTTGCCCTTGTCAATTTTAGAGCTAGAAGAGAATTTTAATAATCTGACCTGGACTCAGGCCTGTTAGCCAGTACATTAATTGCTATCTCCATTGTATATATTGGGCAACTGGAGCCCCAGAGGCATTGTAATGTTATAGAATGATACAGGATTCTTGTTTCTGAGTGCAGTGTTTCTTGTTTCATTGAAATAATTTAAAATAATGAAACTGTGTGGCCCTGGCTCTATTTATTTGATACCTCTGCTAATCTGTAAAGCTAAAAACAAAGAGGCCAGGCACAGTGGCTCACACCTGTAATCCCAGCACTTGGGGAGGCCCAGGTGGGAGGATTGCTTGAGCTCAGGAATTTGAGACTAGCCTGGGCAATATAGTGAGACCCCATCTCTACAAACAAATAAAAAAATTAGCCAAGTGTGATGGTGATGCGTATAGTTCCAGCTAGTTGGGAGGCTGAGGTGGGAGGAGGATCGCTTAAGCCCAGGAGTTGAGGCTACAGTGAGCTATGATTGAGCCACTGGATTCCAGCCTGAGCAACAGAGTGAGACCCTGTCTCTAAAAAAAAAAAAAAACAAAAAAAAGGAAGAAAAGAATAAAGAGATAAAGAAAAAATCAGAATATAGGACAATATTTTGCTCTAGATATAAATAATATGTATTTTAATATTTTTAAAGCACGATAAGCTGACTACAAAATGAGGTAGTTCATAAACGAAATGGGGTTTGCTGCATGTGGTTTTTAAGCTTCTCTTTTGGTTGCATGTTATGAAACTGGTCACTGTTTTTCTGAGACAAGAGTTCCTATCTCACGGGCAAAAACTTTTTTCCCATTAGGACTATAATAAGTAATAAATATTGTCGAATTAGAGTATTTTTATTAAATTGTTATTTATTTTAATCTCCTCCTAAATATGTGTGACAATTTTAGTTGTTATGAAAGTAAAATGTAGGATTGAATGTATTATCTTTTTCAGTGTCTTCCAGTAGCTCTGTATGCTAACTGGTTTATATGGCAATGCTTGTAAAAAATCATAATGAATACGTTTTCTTGTTGTCTTTATAGAAATGGACCAATTTTGACAAGATGTAATGCTACAAGCCTGCCTGATGGGATATATTCAGTCATGGCATCTGAACTTTGTAAGACGATCTCTGTGGCAAGGCTGGAAAAGCACAAGAATTTGTTCTTAAATTATAGGAATCTGCACCATTTTCCATTGGAGTTACTGAAAGATGAGGGACTGCAGTACTTGGAGAGACTCTATATGAAAAGGAACTCCCTGACAACCTTGGTACAGTATTATATTACACTACAAAAAATCATTTATAAATGTGATTAAGATACATTTTACATACCCTAAGATATCCAGACCAAGACTTATGTCCCCTGTTGTTATATATACAGGTAATATAAATACACACACAGGGGTTTCTCATTGGCTATGAATTTCTCATTCACGTTCCTGCAGTTACAAGGTTGCAGGAGAAGTTGTGTAGGAAAGCAAAATATTCACTCATGTACCACTTATAAAGTTAGTACCCATTCAGAAACCATTCTTCATTTAGTGTGTGCATCTGTCCTGACTTGTAATTTGTTTGTATGTTAAGCTTCTGAGGTGATTTAATCAGACCAGTTAATAAGTAAACAAGAGAAAGATCAACAATGCTTTTGAGTTATAGTCATTAAAGGGAGAATGGTTTGAAAATTGAAGCATTAAGAGAGGCATTTGGGAAGCTTAATGTAACTTGAGTGTTTTGAAAACAAAACCTTTATGATTGCCCTGTGAAAATTAAATGATTTTGAATTGGGCTAGCATACAGTTTTTTGGAAAAAATTTTGCCACAGAAGCAACATTTAATTTTCTCTTTTTATGTTCTAAGAATAAGCACATTGTTTCCATTATAATCTGAATTGTATCACATACAAGGTAAACTAAAAGTTTTTCAAGAGAATGTCCAAATCAAACTTTTTATGCCCACTATTTATTGTAAAATTTGGTCTCTGTATTAAATGGATTTACTTTGTATGGCCTTTTCTGGTTATCACTTAACCTCATTTGAATCTTTTACTTGAATTCCAGTTATCATTCATTTTAGATGATTTATGAAATCTTACTACTTTGTGAATTCACCCATTCTTCATTCCCTTCTCTATATTGGACTTTGCTAAATAACTGGAAAGTGTATCTTACTGGCTTCATGTATATGGCTTGTTTTCCTGGAAAAGTTTTATTTAGTATGTGTACAATGCCCATAAGTGGGTAGAAGGCACTATAAAATTAATTTATCTTTGCTATATCTAGAAGTAAATAGATATGCATGTTTTTTTCTTTCGTGATTGGCATATTGATAAATATGTTGAGTGTCTACTTATATTTCTGAAATTAGATTTTTCAGCTTTCCACCTTGGAAAATCCATACACAGTTATATAAGTCCCTTTTTGGCGTGATGTAAAACCATATTAGTATTTTTTAACCTTTTAGCAAGAAGTAGTATAAGAAATATTTTGACAAGGATTATAGCCTAGATTTTCACGTGTTTTTTCTTTATGTATTAAGAAATATTTGTGAGTGGATTACTTATTAATTATCAACCACAGCCCAATGGGGTAGACTTTGTTCTGAGAATTGACCTTTGCTTATAAAAGCCAAACTTGTGGGTGGACCACTCGGCTGGAAGTGTGAGGAGGTCGGCAGTCAGTGGGGGAGGTGGAGGCGGCTCCTGCGATCCAAAGGGACTTGAGACTTACTGGACACACACCATGAGGGCCCTGTGGGTGCTGGGCCTCTGCTGGGCCCTGCTGACCTTCAGGTTGGTCAGAGCTGATGATCAAATTGATGTGGGTGGTACAGGAGAAGAGGATCTGGGTAAAAGTGGAGAAGGCTCAAGGATGGATGATGAAACAGTACAGAGAGAAGAAGAAGCTATTCAGCTGGATGGAGTAAATGCATCACCAGTAAGAGAACTTAAGTAGGAAAAGTTTGCCTTCCAAGCTGAAGTTAACAAAATGATGAAACTATCAATTCATTATATACAAATAAAGAGATTTTCCTGAGAAAACTGGTTTCAGATGCTTCCAATGCTTTAGATAAGATAAAGCTAATATCACTGACTGATGAAAATGCTCTTTCTGGAAATGAGGAACTAACAGTCAAAATTAAGTGTGATGAGGAGAAGTACCTGCTGGATGTCACAGACACTGGTGTAGGAATGACCAGAGGACAGTTGGTTAAAAACGTTGATACCATAGCCAAATCTGGGACAAGCGAGTTTGTAAACAAAATGAATGAAGCACAGGCAGATGGCCAGTCACCTTCTGAATTGATTGGCCAGTTTGGTGTCACCTTCCTTTAGCAGGTAAGGTTATTGTCACATCAAAACACAATGATACCTAGCACATCTGGGAGTCTGACTCCAGTGAATTTTTTGCAATTGCTGACACAAGAGGAAACACTCTAGGATAGGGAACGACCATTACCCTTGTTTTCAAAGAAGAAGCATCTGATTACCTTGAATCGGATACAATTAAAAATCTCATCAAAAAATACAGTTCATAAACTTTCCTGTTTATGTGTGGAGCAGCAAGACTGAAACTGTTGAGGAGCCCATGGAGGAAGAAGCAGCAGCAAAAGAAGAGAAAGAAGAATCTCATAAGGAAGCTGCAGGAGAAGAAGAAGAAAAAAAGAAACCAAAGACTAAAAAAAGTTGGAAAAACTGTCTGAGACTGGGAACATATGAATGATATCAAACCAATATGGCAGAGAACATCCAAAGAAGTAGAAGGAGATGAATACAAAACTTTCTACAAATCATTTTCAAAGGAAAGTGTTGACTCCATGGCTTATATTCACTTTACTGCTGAAGGGGAAGTTACCTTCAAATCAATTTTATTTGTACCCACATCTGTTCTACATGGTCTATTTGACGAATATGGATCTAAAAAGAGTGATTACATTAAGCTCTATGTATACCGTGTATTCATCATAGATGACTTCCATGATATGATGCCTAAGTACCTTAATTTTGTTCAGGGTGTGGTGGACTCAGATGTTCTTTCCTTGAATGTTTCCCTTGAGACTCTTCAGCAGCATAAACTGCTTAATGTGATTAGGAAGAAGCTTGTTCATAAAACACTGGACATGATTAAGAAGATTGTTGATGAGTAATACAATGATACCTTTTGGAAAGAATTTGGTACCAACATCAAGCTTGGTGTAATTGAAGACCACTCGAATCGAACACGTGAAACTTCTTAGATTCCAGTCTTCTCATCATCCAGCTAACAGTACTAGCCTGGACCAGTATGTGGAAAAAATGAAGGAAAAACAAGACAAAATCTACTTCATGGCTGGGTCCAGCAGAAAAAGGGCTGAATTTTTTCCATTGTTGAGCGACTTCTGAAAAAGGCCTATGAAGTTATTTACCTCACGGAACCTGTGGGTGAATACCGCATTCAGGCCCTTTCCGAATTTTATGGGAAGAGATTCCAGAATGTTGTCAAGGAAGCAGTGAAGTTTGATGAAAGTGGGAAAACTAAGAAGAGTCATGAAGCAGTTGAGAAAGAATTTGAGCCTCTGCTCCCTTGGATGAAAGATAAAGCCCTTAAGGACAAGACTGAAAAGGCTGTGGTGTCTCAGCCAGAATCTCTGTGAGCTTTGGTGGCCATCCAGTACGGATGGCCTGGCAACACGGAGAGAATCATGAAAGCACAAGCGTACCAGATGGGCAAGGACATCTCTACAAATTACTATGTGAGTCAGAAGAAAACATTTGAAATTAATCCCAGACACCCACTGATCAGAGACATGTTTCGATGAATTAAGGAAGATGAAGATGGTAAAACAGCTTTGGATCTTGCTGTCGTTTTGTTTGAAACAGCAATGTTTTGGTCAGGATATCTTTTACCAGACATTACAGCATATGGAGATAGAATAAAAAGAATGCTCCACCTCAGTTTGAACATTGACCCTGATGCAAAGGTAGAAGAAGAACCGGAAGAAGAACCTGAAGAGACAAAAGACACAACAGAAGACACAGAGCAAGACGAAGACAAAGAAATGGATGTGGGAACAGATGAAGAAGAACAAGAAACGGCTAAGGAATCTACAGCTGAAAAAGATGAATTGTAAATTATACTCTCACAGTTTGGATCCTGTGTGGAGAGGGAATGTGAAATTTAAGTCATTTCTTTTTGGAGAGACCTTTTTTAGATGGCCCCCCACCAGGCTCCTCATCCCCTGCACTGTAAAATGTGGGATTATGGGTTATAGGAAAACGTGTTATTTTTTAGTTCAATTTGTTTTTTAAGACGGAGTTTCACTTGTCGCCCAGGCTGGAGTACAGTGGTAGGATCTTGGTTCACTGCAACTCCACCTTCCAAGTTCAAGTGATTCTCATGCCTTAGCCTCCTGAGTAGCTGGGATTATAGGTGCCTGCCACCATGCCCAGCTGTATTTTTGGTAGAGACAGGATTTTACCATGTTGGCCAGGCTGGTCTCAAACTCCTGACCTCAGATGATCCACCCGCCTCAGCCTCCCAAAGTGCTGGGATTATAGGCGTGAGCCACTGCCCATGGCCTAGTTGAATTTTTTTTTAACCTTCCTCATGAATGTAAATTTGTACTATTTAACTGACTATTCTTGTTGTAAAATCTTGTCGTGTATAAAAATAAAAAAGATTCCCCCCCCCCCGAAAAAAAGTTAAGCTTTTGGTCTTGTGGTAGTTTCTCAGCTTCAGTTTTTTATTTATGAAAATAAGAATCTACAGTAAATTGATATTTATAATAGCTTATGGTAATACATTTTAATTCTCTGCAACCTTTTCAGTCATCAGAGGTTAAATTGTGTATGTTTATAATGATGCATAGATTTTACTTTAATTGCTTTCTCTTAGTTGGAATATTTGATTCATGTATATCAAAGAGCTTTGTAAACTATAAAGTGCTGTACAGATATGAGGGGTTGGTGGGAATGGTAGCAGTCATCCCAAAGCCGTCCCAATGCCTGATTATATCAGATATATGACAATTTACAGCACAGTTTTTGAAAACAGGTAAAACATTACTTAGAGTGCTCTAAACCTGTAGTGATTCTTCGGGCTCTTGGAATATTTGCTGGTGTTACAGATAAAGTACAGTTCCTAAAGGAGAGTAATATGTAAAATTGTATTTACAACTGCAATACTGTCCAAAACTGGGGAAAACGTTATTGAAAATGTATAGTATCTTGAATACATTATTGATTAATTGGCCTTTTGCTTATGGATTTTTAGCAGACTTGGGAATCTGCCAGTCATTTCCATTTTCATGTTGTTTTAGTGTTTAACTTTTTTTGTTTGTTTCCTGTTAACATTTTTGTGTGTGTATTAAATGCCTTCTCAGCATTTTCCTCCTTTCTTCTCCTATCCCTCAGTATATTAGGCCTCTTGCTGAGAAGAGAAGTTGTCACTAATACACAACCTCTACCCTTCTCCCTTTTTACCGTGAAGTCGTTCAGAATCGTGTATTGGCTTATAGTTGTAGGATGATTGCATGACAAAAGTCCGGAACTTAGCAAATGCTGATATTTAGAACTAAACCACAAGAAAAAGCCTTTTCACACGTTTAAAAGAATAAACTTTTTAATTGCAAAACCAGTATATGCTCTATGTCAAACAACATAGAGGAGTATCTGGAAAGCAGATCTCTCTTTGTCTAGTTTGTGAAGCAACCAATGTTAATGGTTGGATTGTATCCTTCTGCTTTGGTTCATTTATGCTGCCATAAGAAAACACCATAAAATCAGTGGCTTATAAACAAATTGATTTCTTACTGCTCTGGAGGTGGGGAAGTACAAGATCAGGGTGCTAACCAGATTCGGTGTCTCTCTTCCTGATTTGTAGATGGTGCCTTCTTGCTGTGTCCTCACATGGTAGAAGGAGCCAAGGGTCTCCCTCTGACCTCTTTTAAAGGACACTAATTCCATTCATGAGGGCTCAGATCTCATAATCTAATTGCCTCCCAAGGGTACCACCTCTTAACACCATCATCATCTTGGGGTTTAGAATTTTAATGTGTGAATTTGGGGGGGGGGACACACATTCAAACTATCCCACCTTCCACCTCCTTGCTTGTGTTTTTGTAATTATATATATACTATTTATATTTTTCCTTTTTTAATAACAAAAGTAGAATCATACATATTTCTCTGCAAGTCTCTTTGTTCAATTCATGATATTCTCATTCCACTAACCTCTAGGCCAGTAGGTAATTGTACATTCTTGTATGTATGTGTATGTTTATATTTAGGATAGCCTAAAAAGTAGAATTGCTGGGCTAAAGGGTAGATATATTTTACATTTCAAAATACTTTTAGGCTAGGCAGGGTGGCTCATGCCTGTAATCACAGCACTTTGGGAGGCCAAGGCAGGCAGATCACTTGAAGCCAGGAGTTTGAGACCAGCCTGGTCAACATAGTGAAACCCTGTTTCTACCAAAAATACAAAAATTAGCTGGGCATGGTGGTACACGCCTGTAGTTCCAGCTACTCAGGAGGCTGAGTCAGGAGAATTGCTTGAACCTGCAAGGCGTAGGTTGCAGTGAGCTGAAATCATGCCACTGTACTCCAGCCTGGGCAACAGAGTGAGACTTGGTCTCAACAAATTTTTTTTAAAGCAATATTTGATTATCATTTATTTGTATAGCTGACAAACCTTAAAACTTTTTGCTTTGTTTTGAGACAGGGTCTTGTTCTGTCATCCAGGCTGGAGTACAGTGGCATGTTCCAGGCTCACTGCAGCCCCGACCTCCTGAACTCAAGTGAGCCATCTGCCTCACCTTCCTGAGTAGCTGGGACTCCAAGCACACACCACCATATCACACCCTGCTAAGTCGTAAACCTTTTTCTTTTCTTTCTTTTTTTTTGAGATGGAGTTTCACTCTAGTTACCCAGGCTGGAGGGCAATGGCACGATATTGGCTCACTGCAACCTCCGCCTCCTGGGTTCAGGCAATTCTCCTGCCTCAGCCTCCCGAGTAGCTGGGACTACAGGCACGCGCCACCATGCCCAGCTAATTTTTTGTATTTTTAGTAGAGACGGGGTTTCACCATGTTGACCGGGATGGTCTCGATCTCTTGACCTCGTGATCCACCCGCCTCGGCCTCCCAAAGTGCTGGGATTACAGGCGTGAGCCACCGCGCCCGGCCTTTTTCTAGAGATGGGTTCTCGCTATGTTGCCTAGGCTGGTCTTGAACTCCTGGGCTCAAGTGATCCTCTTGCCATAGCCTCCCAAAGTGTTGAGATTACAGTGAGCCACTGTGCCTGACCGAAACTTTCTTTTTAAACATAAGCTGGTTTATATGGGAATCTAGTTATATAATTGGTAGGTGAACAAGAAGTAGTTGTGGGTGTTGGGACTGGTGGCTCATGTCTGTAATCCTAGCACTTTGGGGGGCTGAGGCAGGCAGATCACTCGAGCTCAGGAGTTCAAAACCAGCCTGGGCAATTTCATAAAACCCTGTCTCTTCACACACACACCCCCACCAGCCTGGGCAACATCATAAAATCCTGTCTCTACACACACCCCCCCCCACACACCAGCCTGGGCAACATCATACAATCCTGTCTCTACACACACATGCACGCGCGCGCGCGTGCGCGCGCACACACACACACACACACAGCTGTCTCAGAAAAAAAAGAGTTAGGATTTTACTTCCTAACATTTACCTTAGAAAATGTTTTAAATAATTTTTCTATAATTTTAAATGCAATTCAGGAATTATTAAGTCTGACCTTTGTGATAGTTTTAAGATAAATGAGATATTAGGAGTAATATAGGGTCTGGGTTTGTGACATGATAGGTATTCATCTAGTGGAAGAATTAAATAAATGAATATAATGTAGAATTGCATAAGGACCATATTATAAGAGTTCCAGACTGAGAGCCTTCAAGAGCAGGAACTGTGTCTTGCATTCTGCATCTTCAGTGCCTGGCTTACTGCTTAGCATGTGTAGTACACGTAATTTAATTCTATGTAGCAGCATTGTAGAAGATTTTTAAGATCCTATTTGTATGACACTGAAGACTGACTTTGACTGGCACTTAGGAGGAAGAGCATCATTCATTCAGTGTGTATTTATTGAGTGCTTACTGTGTCCCCATCACTCTTCAAGACACTGACAATAGATATTTTGTGGAACAGCTTCTTATTCTCATGGAATTTTCATTTGTTGGCATTTCAAGTTTAAAGGGGAAAAAAAAGGAACTAAGACTCAGTGGCAAAATGTTCAAGGGACAAGTTTACATACCTGTTTTGCTTGCCTCAAGCAGTGGTTTTATAGGTTCCACAGAGCCTCGGGCTTCCTGAGCAATGCTGAGGTGGGGACCAAACAAGAGTGTGTCTCTACTTCAGCTGGAGCAGTTCTTTTGTTTGAGTATCGGTGTTCTCTATGCAACCCCCTCACATAGATGGGATATGCAGAGAGGTCCTCTAGTAAACAGATGGGTAGAGAGGTCTTGAAGTTTGGCTGTGATATAGGATGGGCATAGTGGGAGGAGATTTGACAACAAAGGAGATTTTTCTTCTAATCATCCCTTTTCTCTTCCTTTTCCTTTACCCCCCTCTTCTGTTTTCTGAGAGAACAGAGTAAAGGCTATTGGGAAATTCCCATTAAAAGAAGAGTTGAACCTCTGGATAAAGGGAATAATTAAAAGTCCAAGTTTCCTAAGAACGAGCTCTAGAGTACACTTGGAAGGATTAACCTTGGGAATATATCTGTTCCTCCTTTGTAAAAGAAAGGGAAGACAGGTGTAAAGACAGATATGCACTAAGGGACAGAGAGGCAGTTGAGAGAGTTTTTGGTCTGATGCTTTTCCAGGTCAGACCATCTGCTTGGGAATGAACATTTGGGGAGAGGGCAAGTTTGAAGACTCACATGGCAGTTTGACAAGAGAAAGATAGAATTGTTGGGTTTTATTTAGCAAGCAGTTGGTGACTAAGCTTACGGTGGAAACTTCTGCTTGTTTAGGGAACTTTCTCTAGCCGTATCCAGCTGTCTGAGGTATGGAGAAGGTGGACTGTGGCATTCATACAGGTTTAGGTTGTTGCTAGGTGGCTGGAGGTTTAGGATTTGGCCAAGAGAATGATAGAACATGAAATCTGAGCTGGATTGCAGACAAAGGAAGAGTGAATAGAGAGAATGGAGGTGGGCCACAGTTCCCACTGATGTTGAAAAACTGCTGTATTGGGTGTGACTGAGTAAGCCATCTGGGATGTGGGACATTTTGGTCTCGA